TCAGCAAAAGCAAGGAGCTAAGCAATTCAGTGAGACCCTGTCTCTAAATAAAATGAAAAATGGGGCTGGGGATGTGGCAAAGTGGTTGAGTGCTCCCGAGTTCAGTCCCCAGCACCGCCCCTGCAAAAAATCAGATCCATTAGAGAGAAGAAAAAACACTGTCTAAGGTTGTCTGTTGTGTTAGTAGCCCAGCACTAAAAAGTGTGCTTCTGTTTCTATCTAAAGGAGGGTTCACTTATAAAAATCATCCCAAATTGTCTTCAAGGACAATTTCTTTATTCAGTGAGCCAAACAATGGCTGAAGTTTTAAGAAAAAAACAAGTCTAAAAAAATAAAACTGTGAAATGATGTCCTGTTCCACACTAAACCAGCTTGGGCTGGATTGCATTTATGATGATTATTGATACCATTTTTCTTTGTTTTCAAGAAATTCACATGGGAATGGACAGAGTCGGAGTAAAGAACCAACGAAGGAGTAGTTATTAGACACCTACTTGTGCCTGCTATGGAGCCAGTCACCACCAGGAAGACAAAAAGAAGATAAAAAGTCAGAGCTTTGGAGAAGAAAACTAAAATATCAACATAGTCCCTTCGCCCAGCTACAATTCCTGTCACCTGTGATCACGGTATGCAATCTTAATAATTACTACCTCTGCTCGTTATGATAATGAAATTGATTCGAGTTGGGAGGAAGAAAGGAAATGTGTCTCTTTAGTAAAGCTCTTTCCACCCTCTGGAAGCTATCTCCCAACTTAACAAAAACTGCATAAAGCCATTCACGACCCCATGCCCACCGGGTCAGGGGTGACGGGCCTCGCCCCCTCTCCAGCATCCAGACATTGCCACCTGGCCTTCCCCTCACGAGCATCAGCTTGTTTTTCCAGAGAGCAGCAGTCATTACCTGAATGGCAGGTTTGCCACGCAAGCTTCCTTAATGTGGGGCTTTGTAGACATCACATCCGGGTTGTCATTAGTGTCCTCTGAAAACAGTAATCAGCTGGCAGACCAGAGAAGGACATTCCAAGAAGAAAACGCATTATTACAAATGTTTGGGAAGCCGTGGAAAATCTAATTTATTTGTTTGTTTGTTGTGTTTGCTTAGCTCAAGAAAAGGGCTAATTTGTACACGATGCATGAGAATGGAAGTCATCCGGATGTACTGAACTGTACTTGGCAACAGTGCTGGGAGTGGGGGAGGGACACACTTACCGGTTGGCCGCCCTGCAGAAGGAGGGGTCTCTCTCCACCCCTGCACCCCTGCAGGAGGCTGAGCCAAGGGCAAGAGATCCTTTTGTGGGTTCATGGCTTATTACCTTTCTCACTCAGTCTCCTGCTCTTCTCCATACAGTGTTAGGTGGTTAGAAAGTTCTAGAAGAGGCCCTGCTCCAGGAGCTAAAGTATTTTCTGGGTCTTTCCTCTGTCCCTACATCAAGTGTGAATGCACCAAAAATCAACACAGCCCAAGGGAGAAGACGCTGTCACTCCAGTGTTCCCTCTTCCACCCCCACCCCATGACCTCTCAGCCACCAAGAGGCGAACATGACCAAGAGGCAGTTCCGTCTCAGTCTACACTGGAGCTGCCTTAGGAGAGCAGACATGCAGGTCAGTTTCCTTCTCTATCAGCATCAGCCTACTATTTCTTCAATGCAAAAGGTTAAAGCCACGCCCTCCAGAAAAGCTATGCTGAGTCTTTGGGAAACTGGACAAGGGATGCTGGGGACCCACACCTCTGGGCCAGCTGGAGACCCATCCCAGGGTCCAGAGACTGGGCAGCCTGAACAGGAGTGACCCAGATGTCTGACATAGGGGAGCTGTGCTGATGGAGTCTGGGACTGGGAGTCCAGGGCTTTGGTCCATTTCCAGTATCTCCTGATAGGACGTGGGCTCTGATCCTCCCCACTTTGCCCACCAGAAGTGTGTCAAGGTAAGAACTCACAGCTGACTCCAAGGATCCTTTAGAAATAAAACTTTTTAAGTGATCTCTGCTACTCTTAAATGATCCAGTGATATCTGGAAGGGGCCTGTGTGCTCACTGGGGTCTCACTGCCCTAGCAGAAAAGGGCAGGCACTCACTTCTACCCCCCACCATTTTTCTGGTGCCTGCAGTAACCTCTGATGCTTACCAAAACAAAAAAAAAAAAATCTCATTATAAAAGGCAGAAAGATGTATCTCTTCTACCTCCAGGATTTTCCTTTTTTGGTCACTTCTCATTTCTTCTCTTCCATGTTCAGCCCCAGAACAATGTCCCTAAAAAGGGAGGGTAACAACTATCTAAACTGCTACCATCAGCAAGGGAAGCGTTGCTGAAAATGCAGACAGCCATCCAGACCTCGGCCTCCCACTCAAACTTGAAGGAAACAATCCATTCTCAAGGTCAGGTGGTGGACAGAAAGTCCCCGTTCCTACCCTAACAATCATCCCTTCTCTCAGGGCTGGCTTGCTTTCCAAGATAACTTGTCAGGATTTATTTCCATCTTGGCATTTGTGTCTTCGAGGCATCCTAGAAAGAAACCTTGTGTATCACCCCACAGAACAAAGAGAGAAAGAAAATGTTCTTGGATCAGCTTCTCGAAAAATCTTAAACCAGATTCTCCTGGGATGTTTCGGGCCAGTCACGCCGGTTACTTGATACTGTGGCATCTTTCTTTGAAAATTTAGAATACACAATGATTGAATGAAAAGTTCAAAAGTCTACAATGTCCGCAGCACTGGTTTCTAAATTGCCACACTGCTGCTCAAGAGCTTGTCTTGTCTACCCTTTGGGGCCACCACCTTCTTTACAGAGCAAGACAGGGAGTATGAGATTTCCAAACAGAGGGCAAAGTTGCTTGTCAGGAATGTTGTAAGAGGAACAGTTCAAAAGGATTTGAAACAGGACTTTCTGATTTGGTTATTTTCTTCTTAATTAGAAAAGAGTTTGAGTCTACAGAGAATATATAATAATAGGTAAAGGGAAAATATTAACTGTGCTTTCAATCTCCATAGATGTTTATAGGTCAAAGGGGTGGCCAAATTGCACATAAAGTTTCAATAGGACACAGCCACACCGTTCAGTCTACACATTTCTATGGCTGTGCTTAGGCTAACAGTATCTCTCTGACCCACGAGCCCTTACATATTTATCTTCTGGCCTTTAGAGAAAAAAATTTCCAACTTCTGCTACAGATGACAGAGCAGGAGAAAAATGAAAATTACAGCCAGGAATGGTGGTACACACCTGTAATCCTGTTATACCAGGAACTCAGGAGGCTGAGGCAGGAGGATCGAAAGTTCAAGATGAGCCTCAGCAACTTAGCAATAGCCTGTCTAAAAATAAAAAATAAAAAACTGGGGATAAAGCATCCCTGGGTTAAATCCCAGCACCACAAAAAAAAAGGAAAGAAAGAAAATGAAAATTACAGTAGAAACAGTCAGACCTATCCATCAATATCTCTGTCTCAGAAAGGTGAACAGACCGTTAAATCTTCACTAGCAGGAGAGGGTCTTGACCCCTTCACTAAACACAGGCTACTAAAAACAGGGGTGGATAATTTGAATTGGATAGTTTAGGATCAGTGTAAACACTTTAAAGATTGAAAAGTGTCTGTGTTTCCCCTCAGGTAACTCATGTTTATGGCAAAAATTAAAATTAAGACAAAAGATACGTATTGTTTTTTATTTTAAAAATTGTATGTTTCCCAAATAGTTTTCAAGATAATGTTCAATTTTTGCTGTGCACTAAGAAATACATCATGCTGTCCTTTGCAAAACTGCCAATTTAAACTGAGCTAAAACACACACACACACACACACACACCCTTATGAGTCACAAACCTGAGTTTCACTAAGAGCCTTGGGAGGGTTGCTTTGGCCCTTATTAGATATGAAGAGCAAGAGCTCCCCCTGCTGGCTTCATAGCAACCTAGGCCCGGACTCCATGTATTTTCTGATCTAGGATCATGTCCACAGTTTCACGAGGAATAGAGGAGTATCACACATTCACAATTCATTCCTAAAAGATCATAGCAATTTGAGATTTGTATTATATGTATCATATCAAGTAATTTCTACCTAAACGGGATCCACTGGGTTTTTACCTCCCTTAAACCTCCCCGCTCCCTAAAAAAAAAAAAGAAAAATTTAACTCTAGCCTTCTACACCACTTTATGGCACATGAAGTCTTGTAACAATGAACAAAGAATTTTATTTCTCATTTGATACAGAATACTGGCCAAGGGTTTTGTTCTAAATACATTGACTCATGCAAAATTGCCAATATTCCACTCTTGATCCATGCAGATGGCACCTGAATATAATTAGTTCATCAACAATGGACAAGATACCCAGGAGAGTCTGGAGGTGTGCAGTGTGGCAGGCTTTGGTGCTTGGAGGCTGGGGATACAGGACACAAACCCTCCAGCCGCATGAGTTTCCCCAGTGCCTCCTCTGAGCTCCTCTGTCTGATGAAGTAGACACTGGGCGTTTATGGCACCTGTTTTGTCACTTGGGCCACTCTGCTCCACTTGATACATACACTTTGATATATTCCTTAAAATTTCCATGATGGTTTGATGCAATGGTCCCTAGGTTAAAAGCACAAAGAATCATAGATTCTTATTTCTCAGATCTGCAAACAGTGTGACCGAACTCCATCCTCCAGGACAGAACCGTTGCACACAACAAAAGCCTTTATAACTTCCACTGAGAACATCACACCGTCCAGCAGATCCCAATTGAAGTTGAATGAGAACCATTGGCTGAAGGGTTTCTCCTGAATCTAATTATAATTCAACATAATCTTGTGGATGGAGAGCGAGCAAGAACCTCACAGCTGTATGAGCTATCAATCACAAGAGCCAAAGCAGAAAGAAAATCATCCAGCAGAGGGAGCCAAAGAGAAACGCATACTTATTTTTTAAGCATGACATAGAATCTTAAAGACTTGAGAGCCTGTATGTACAACTATGATGCACCAATTTAAAAAAAAAAGTGGGGGGAATAAAACACTTGAGATCCCAAATGATGTATTTTATCACATTGATATTATTTCCTCAAAGGTCACAGTTACCCTATGCCTTTTGACCCCAGCCAGATCTTGTGATAATTTTTCCCCAAGACAAAGCTGATATGATTCTTTTATGTTCACTTTTACCTAGAAAAACAGGCAAACTTCTTATTTAGACTAAGGTATATGTCAAAATGCATTTTGAATGATAGTGGACACCACAAAAACAGAATTTTTAAGGGAAAAAAATATTTTCTTCCCCTTTAAAACAGATAAACTGGGCATTTTTCCTTCACAATTTACGGACTTGTTGACCATCAACTGTGTGCTCACTATGTTGGACTCTGAATCCAGACCTCCCTGAAGGTATTTTACAGTCCTTTGTTGCAGTTGGGGTATTCAAACCCATCCTTCAGCTTGGCTTCCCATGTCAGCTTCCGTGGCTTCCCAGGTCACACAGAGTACATTCAGAGTCCTTGCAGGACATTGGCCATCAGCGGGTCATGGCTGTTTGCCATTCCGTGGGAGACACCATTGGCTACTGTGACACTCTGTTCATTCCATGGCTGGAGGTGACACACCTGTGCGATGGGTAAGAGAGACAGACTGTTTCCAGGTGAGCCTTCTTGAGTCATCACTCAAGGTGACTTGCTCACTCACTCAACACCCATTTATCGGCACAGGCCAGTCCTGAAGGTTACCATTATCCTGTGCACTTTTGTCTCAGAATTAATGTGCCAATTGAATTAGATGTCAGAAAAGGGAAAAGGCTTGGAAAGCATTCTCCCAAGGGATATGAAAGCTACTTCAACGCCAAATAACAACCTCTCGTGATAACAGCGTGACATCTGCCAGATGGCATCTGTTCTCCTCCTGTCTCTGCCTTGCCCTCCTTTAGCCACGTGTCCTGTTTACATCCACGACAGACTTACTCATTTTTGTACCTGGCTGATACAAAATACTCTCATATGTTTTTTTTTCCTTTTATTTCATTTTTTATTGAAGTAAAATTCATATAACAAATATAAACCGTTTTTTTTCTTTTAGTCTCCTTTTTAGTAAATATTATTTGACTCAAAAAATTTATGGGCTACCATGTGATAATTTAATACATACATACAGTGTGTAATGATCAAATCAGGGTAATTAGTATTTCCATCTCCTTAAGCTTATTTTTTTTAATTTTTGATTAATACATAATAATTGTGCATCTTTATGAGGTCCTAGGAATTTCTAATGATTGGGGGCAGCTGGTGGAAGGGCAGCTGGACTGGGCGGCGCGTGTAGGAAAGGAAACTGCAATCATGCAGACTGTGTTACCAGAGCCCTAAGCTGCTGCCCCACTCGGGAGGTATTAGGGTCTCACCTGAATCATTACTAGTTTGCTCTTTAGCTTTTCGTTTTAAATTGCATTCAAATCTGTGTGCACGTTTTTTTGCCACTGGTACTACTTTCCATCTCAATGATTGGGAAAAAAATACATTTGAAAAAGTGATACATTGCCTATACCATTAACTTAAATCCGTGTTTATCATGTGTGGTCTTTGTGTCTTTTTTTAAAGAGTAGGGAATTGCTCCACAGACAATATCCAGTGGCTTCCCATGTTACACAGAGTACATTCCGAGTCCTTGCAGGACATTGGCCATCAGCGGGTCATGGCTGTTTGCCTCTGCCCTCTTTTACTCCCATGTCCCTCCCCCTCGGCAGTAGCATAGGGCCCTCTGCTCCACCCACACTCACCACCCCAGACCTTTGCCCTGGGAAGTTCCCCCACCCAACTTCTAGATGGCTCTTCCTCTACAATTTTTATTCAAATATCGTTCCCAGCAAGGCCCAGCTCATTACTCTAAATGAGAGAACACCCTCCACCCCCACCCTTTCTAGCTGTGGCCCAGGAAGCTAGGTTCTGCCAGGGCAGAAAATTTTGTGTTTCTGGATCCCTGCAATCAGGAGCTGGCCCACAATCGTATTTATGCATATTTGTGAATGAATGAATGAATGAATGAATGAATGAGTGAATGGAACATGGAATGCTCGAAAAGTCTCATCCTGAAAAATACAAGTCCCTAGTCTCCCACTCCTGAACCTTTCTTTCCAGACTATTTTAGCTCTTTCTTCTTGTATAAGCTTGCATATTTCTAACCAATATATTTATAATGCTTCTTCTTGATCCATAATTTAAGACACTATAGACTTAAATTCCTGCTGTGGAAGATGATGATAAAGGTTCTGGATTCTTACACCACCTCATCTCACACCAGCATGATTATATCAATCACATTAGTGTGTGTGTGTGTGTGTGTGTTGGGTCTATATTCCTCTGCTAGAATGAACCCATGTTTGTCTATTTTGTTCATTAAAGAACAGTGTCGGGTACACAGCAGACACTGAATAAATATTTATGGGATGATTGAATAAATTCTCAGGTTTACGTCATGACTTATCCACAGGATGCATTGCCCATGTCCCTCCTGACTGCCTGGCTAGTCGCTCTTCCTTAAGCACTGCACGGGCATGTCACCACCTTATGGAAGACTTCCATGGCTCACTCTCATCCACCTTTCCTTGGGGATCCCATCTCTATAGCCCCAAATCTTTTCACTAACACATACTGTTTTCTAACTACTGATTTATTAAGCAACATCTCCCATGAGGCTGAAGCCTTTTGGGATCATGGACGGTGTCTTGGAGATATCTGGACCACCCCCGCTTGACTATCACAGCATCAGACCCATTGCAATAGATGCTCAAGCAGCCCAAATGAAAAACACGGGGCACTGCCTGACACTTTGAAGCAAGAGAGAAAGGATTCTTCCTGTCCCAGGTGAGCCCAGCAGTAAGTCACCACCACCACGGACAAAGTTGGCTCTCTTGCTTTTCCTTTAACTCTTCACTTCCTCCGATTCATCAATCTCAGGACATTCCATGCACCTTATTTAATCAACCATTGAGCTTCTTTCTGTCCCCTCGAAAATAAAAATAACAAATTTCAGGTAATAGTTTCATCATCAGAGCATCATCACTTCTTTCAAAGCTAGGATCATGGCGCTACCAGACCTGATTTCCCAGTGCCTCCAACAAAATGAAAATATACAATCAGTTGCAACCCTTCCCACACCGTTACCACTAACAGCCCCCAGCAGTGGTTCTTGAGCCTTGCCATGCATCCGGGTCACCTGGGAATCTTGTTAGGACAGAGATGCAGGTGGCCGGACCCTGCCCCTACCCCAGAATTTCCACAGAGGATTTGAGGTGGAAGTCTGAGGATCTTCATTTGCAACAAGCTTCCGTGATATTGGTGCTGCTGGTCTGGGACCACCCTCTGAGGTCCCTTCCTCTCCCATAACTTTCCAAGTGGCTCAGGCCATAGATTCATTTGGGGATGGTTTAAACCCCCTTTCCTCACCAAGACAAGCAGCTGTTGAACCACTTCTCAAACTTTATTACACACATAAACCACCTGGGGAGCTTCTAAAATGCAGATTCTTATTGGGGCAGATGGTAGGGGAGCCAGCTTTGGGGTGATGCCAATGCTGCTGGTCCACAGAACAAATTCTGAATTGAAAGCTTTACAACTTATCCCAAGTAGATTAGCACTAAAGTGATTTTCTTGGATCTCAAAGCTTTGAGAAGGCTCAAAACATTCAATTTCGCATCAGAGCACTAAAACTACCAATATACTTTTACTCTTTGCTTAAATTGTTGACAGAATAGAAACAAGTTAATGTGTTCACTTTCATCCACATAAAACTTTCATTATCAGTGGGACGGCTGACTCACTGGCACTGCCCAGAAGTACTAGCCTCTATTCAAACACCAGGAATAGGACCCTAGAGGGATGGCTGGGAGGGCGGGACTGTTGATAGGCGCTGATTAATTGAGGAACTCGCTCTTTGTCCTATGATAAATGGTGATTTGATACACAGTTTCAGCATTTAGCCTTCCGCTGACACTCTGCTTCTAATGCATTATTAAGCCCAATTCTACCCCAGACCTGTTTTCTGTTTTCTTTTCTCTTCTCTTTCTTTCTTGATTGCTTGCTTGCTGTCTTGCTTTCTTTGGCTAGAGATTTTAGTGATGGAGAAGTCAAAAAGAGCATAAACTCCTCCAAAACCTACCTAATCTCCACACTCCCTTACACCTGCAGGGGAGAGTACCACCTACATAATTTGTAGGGCCCTGATGGAAAGGCAGGACCCCTGTCCAAAAAAATTGTTGGGACTTTCAACACTGTGACAGCAGAGAATTAAATGAGAGCCAGCCCTTCTAAGGTCAGATGTCCATGAGGCCAGCCCTAGGTGAGGAACTCAGACTGGGAAAGCCCATGAATTTGCAAATTCTCATCCTCCTCCCTTCTCTCTCCTTCTCCCTTTCCTATTTCCTTTATGTCAGGAAAGAAGAGCAAGGATGAGAACAGTGGAGTCATTCATTCCATAGTTGAATAAAAACTTGTTCCTGTCTCCTCTTCCTCTTGTCTCTCTTCATTTTTTGCTAAGTAACTCAACCTCCTGATTAAGAAAAGCCTAAGTAGATGCCACTGATTCCGAGGGCTGACCTGAGGTCTACCTTTGGCCTGACTGTGATAACGTGGTTTACCTAACCTATGATAAGGAAATGGACTACACAAATATGATTAGAGGGGAGGGTGTGTCATCTCCTCAAATGACAAGCTTTTAAAGTCATCAGACAGCATGGCGGATGAGTCATCATGGATCCTGTTCGATCCTCCTGGTTTGGAAGGTGCAGATGGGGGCCAGAGCATATCCATTTTGTGAGGCCAAGCACCACCCTTAGAATTGCCAAATTAGAGATGTGCTGTGAGTGCAGAAAACACATCCCATTTTGAAGATTTGGTCCAAAATCAAATAAAATATCTCATTAAGAATTTTATATAGGGCTGTGGATATAGCTCAGTTGGTAGAGTGCTTGCCTCACATGCACAAGGCCCTGGGTTCAATCCCCAGCACCACAGGGGGGAAAAAAAGAATTTTATATTGAGTATGTTTGGGGTTAAAAAAATACATATGTATATACATATATATATGGTGAAAATATGTACATTATTAAAATGAGTTCCATCTGTTTCTTTTTACTTTTTTTATATGTTTTAGTAGGAGATTTCAACTTCGGTATGGGGCTCACTGTTAGACAAAGTTCTGGAAGGGGATCTGAGCTCTGCTTATCCATCTTCATTGGATTATAAACTCCATAGGGTGGGAATATAGGACCAGCCCTGGATGTCACCAAGGGAGGGACAACCTGATAGCTGAGTTCACCTCTCAAGGTCTTGCTACACCAAGTTTCCTTCTCAAGTTCTTTCCACCCAACCTCATTCACACACACCTTCATGCACACACACTCTCATACTCACACTCACACTCACACAGAAGCTGGCCGACTTTGGGACAGGAGCTTGTCTGTGCATCTTTCGGTCCTCAATGCTCAGCACAGTCCACCATCTAAGTGCTCTGTGAATACCTGCCGTTGCTGCTCTATGTCAATCATCCATAGCTCCTCCCACTGGCAGTACTTTTGGGTCACTTGATATATACACTTCAAAGTAATCACATTGGCTCAGTT